GACTTTTATTGATGATTATTCCCGTAAAGTCTGGGTTTATACCTTGAAGAATAAAAATATTGTGTTCCAAAAGTTTAAGGAATGGAAGGCCATGATAGAAAATCAGACTAGTAAAAAGGTGAAGCATTTTCGTACTGATAATGGTTTAGAATTCTGTTCAGGAGAATTTAATGAGTTTTGCAGGAAAGAAGGCATTGTAAGACACCGCACAGTCAAAAGTACTCCACAACAAAATGGAGTTGCAGAACGCATGAACAGAACTCTTTTAGAGAGAGCACGTTGCATGCTCTTTACTGTAGGTCTTCCAAAGAAGTTTTGGGATGAAGCAGTCAACACAGCTAGTTATTTGGTGAACAGGTCTCCATCAACTTCTATTGAGTGTAAGACACCTAAGGAACTATGGTCAGGTAAACCTACTGATTGTTCTTGTTTAAGAATTTTTGGTTGTCTAGCCTATGCTCATGTCAGTGAAGAGAAATAAAGGCCTAGAGCCAAGAAGTGCATTTTTCTTGGATATGGACAAGGGGTGGAAGAATATAGATTGTGGTGTCCTGATCTGAAGTCACCCAAGTTTCTAATCAGCAGGGATGTCACTTTTAATGAATCTTTTATGCTTCAACAAAAAAAGAATTCAATTGATACAGATGCAGGTTATAGTGAAAGTGGCAAACATCAGTTGGAGTTACAATTTGATGCTTCAGAGACGATGCTTGAAGCAACTACAGATCAACCCACAGAGGAGGAGGTGAAACACGAGGAAGCACCACCACAACAGGACACTATTGCTGCTCGGAGACAGCGCAGACAGATCAAGCCACCCCAGAGGTATGCTTATGCAGATCTAGTTGCTTATACTTTGTTTATGGCAGAATCTTTATAAGAAGAGGAGCCTTCCATTTACTGTGCTGCCATTGCAAGCAAAGAATCTGCTAAATGGGTTGTTGCTATGATAGAAGAGATCGAGTCTCTTCATAAGAATCAGACATGGGAGCTTGTTAAACCACACAAAGGCCAGAAGATTATTAGCTACAAATGGGACGTCTTCAAAAGAAAAGAAGGAATTCTGGAGTTGAAGATGCTAGGTACAAGGCACGTTTGGCAGAAAAAGGATACAGTCAAAGAGAAGGAATAGATTTCAATGAAGTCTTCTCACTAGTGGTAAAGCATACTTCAATTCGTGTTTTACTTGCATTTACTGCCTTGTATGATTTGGAGCTTGAACAACTTGATGTTAAAACTGCTTTTCTTCATGGTGAGCTAGAGGAACAGATTTACATGCATCAGCTTGAAGGTTTTGTTGTCCAAGGAAAAGAAGATCATGTTTGCTTGTTAAATAAATCACGGTATGGGTTAAAGCAATCCCCACGATAGTGGTATAAGCAGTTTGATTCTTTTATGATTGATCATGGTTATTCTAGAAGTAGCTATGACAGTTGAGTGTATTTTAGGAAGCTATTAGATGGTTCATTTTTGTACTTGTTATTATATGTCGATGATATGTTGATTGCTGCTAATAACATGTCAGAAATTTCTAAGTTGAAATCACAGCTCAACTCAGAGTTCGAGATGAAAGACTTAGGTGCAGCTCGGAAAATTTTGGGCATGGAAATTCTTCGAGACCATGAAGCAGGAAAGTTTTGTTTATCTTAGAGAAGTTATATTTAAAGTGCTTGAGCGTTTCGAGATGGAAAGTTCCAAGCCAGTTTATACACCACTTGCTACGCATTTTTGCTTATCAGCGAAGTTGTCACCACAGACCGATGAGGAGAAGGAGCACATGTCACGTATTCCTTATGCTAGTGTTGTTGGCAGTCTTATGTATGCCATGGTATGTACTCATCTTGATATTTCACATGTTGTTAGTGTTGTCAGCAGGTATATGGAGAACCTAGGAAAAAAACACTGGCATGAGATGAAATGGATACTATGGTAATTGCGGGGTACTTCAGATGTTGGTCTTGTCTTTGAAAGAAGCAGTATTAACACTTCCAAGAATGTTTTTGGTTTTGTGGACTTAAATTATGCAGGTGATTTGGACAAGAGACGATATTTGGCAGGTTATATTTTACTCTCTCAAGATGTGTCGTTAGCTGGAAAGCAACTTTATAGTCAACGGTTGCTCTTTCAACTACAATGACAGAATATATGGCACTGACAGAGGCGGTGAAAGAAGCCATCTGGCTTAGAGGTTTGGTTTTAGATTTGGGCTTTTAACAAAGCCTATCAGTTGTCTACTGTGATTGCCAGAGCGCTATACATTTGACTAAAAATCAAATGTATTATGAATGGACCAAGCATATTGATGTCAGGTTTCACTTCACTAGAAATATTATATTTGGGGGATCTATCAAAGTTGAAAAAATTGCTACTGCAAATAATCTAGTAGATATGATGACAAAGCCTGTAACAACAATCAAGTTCAATAACTGCTCGAACTTGGTTGGTGTCTATTAAGTATAATTTCTTATTGGATTTCTTGAAGAAGATTGTATCATAAGTTTTTTTAGGTAGATTTCATTTTGCTGCTTTATCCCCATATCTACTGGAGGGGGAGAATTGTTGTCAGAAAAGCTATACACATGTTTGCGGCCCTTAGTACTTGGAAATATAAATTTTGTAGCATGCAGTTATTGGTACTTGTTCACTACAAACTGATGTAATTGGCAACCTTGATATGCGTGAAATGGATGCAGGAATACAACAGCAAGTTTAGACAAAGGTGGTCATATTTTTTATGATTCCTTCGTGATGAAGGATTGTGAGAACCGCCTTCTCTTTGTTGGTTATAAATAGAATCACAGGTTCTTAATGTTATAGTAACCAATTAGCGTGAGAGTTAAACACTGCTATTCCCGCAGCTTTTCTTTGTGTACCCAATTTTATTTTTATTTTTTGGGTACAGTATTGTGTACCCAATTTTATGTATTATACTGTGAGGATTATTAGGTGTATTATGAATGGGATTTGAGTGTTTGAGTTATTTTCACCTGTTGTACTCTATTTCATTTTTAGTAGATACTTTTGATCTGTCTCCGTTTGTAGAGTAGGCACACTGCCAAACCATATAAAATTATAAAGGGAAATACTACTCTCATTTTACATGAGGTAGTTATCTCATTTTCTATCACATCGAAAATCGCACCACTTCTTTTTTCTTTTTCTTTTTTACTTTTTAATGGTGGACCCCACTTAAACTCTCTCTATAACATGAGATAATACTCTCATGTAACATAAGATTAATATTCCCCAATTATAAATACTTGTGTCTTTGTGTATGTGCCATTTTTTTTTTCTTTTTTTTTTCTCTATCTCATGTTGCTCTGCGCCCAAAAAGCACATAATTTTATATCCTTTCAAAAGGCATATATTTTTCGCAAAGTGGAAACAGCATGAAAGTGTCAACAATGACGTGGTACTCACAAGAATCTGTGATTTGTTGTATGCTCTTTTTTAGTACTACATATATATTTTGAAAGAATTGAAAAGGGAAAGCGAATATTTATAAACTGCCACTAAGAATGGCATTCCCAATCGCAGGATAAAAAATCACCTTTATCTTTAAATTTTATACAAGAATTTGATAGCACGATGGATGATTTTAAATGCAAGAGAGACTAGCACCCCCTCATTTTGCCACAGAATTCGTAAATAAATAATTTTGTATAATGTATCAAGCCCCATAAATAAGAAAATATGATACACTTTTTTTGAGCGGATAAAACATAGGATAAACAGTTAAATATTAGCCATTATATATATAGGGACAAGTTATATTTATAAATTTTTTTGTTTACAAACTATACTATATTCTTTCGGGAAAACACTAATTTCACTATGTTCTCTGAGAAAAAATAGTATAATTTGTAAAAATTTATTAAAAAAATGTATAAACGGATCCTTCCCCATATATATATATATATATAAACACAAGATTTTAAAATAATGATGTGCAAAACTTGGGTCAGCACATTTCTATTAAACGAATTGGATGAGAAAAGTCCTCACATGCATGCATACATCCCTCTATCTCTCTTATTAGTAGAATATATTTTAATCAAGTCACGAAACCTTATTTAACCTACAAGCTTGTTAAATGAAAAAATGAAAGTAGGTATAATTTTGATTATTATTATTTTGTTAAGTTGAAGTTTTTTTTTCTTTTATTATTTATATTTTTTTGTTTTTTAATGCATTTAAAAAAAAATTCAGTGCCACTAAATGTGCAGACATAAATAAAATTTTTCGAGTTCGCTATTTTATATATATATATATATAATTGTGACACTGAAATTTAAACCTATAATTTTATATAAATTAGTCAATCTTTCACCACTAAATCAATTTCAGTGACTTAATGTATTGTACTTTAGAATCTTTTCATTTTGGCGTCAGTGTCACCACTAAGCCTTATAGATCATGTGCATGTAAGCATACATGACGAGACACGTTAAAGTTTGTGCAAGCATACAAAAATGTACGAAAATGACATTAGTGTTTTAACTTGAATTATGAGAAGAAGCGCACACATGCTATTATTCCTTTTAGCTCTATAATGCCAAAGTAGCCTTCATGAATCATTATCACCCATTTGTGGGCAATATTGTATCAAATAATAAACCTTTCATCCACAAGATTATTAACTCCTTCGAGGACAAATTGAAAATTATTGAAGATGAATCATTTAAAAACAAAGAAACAAAACAAAAACACCCATTCAGTATTAAAATGAAAGAACAATGTGTGCAGTCACCTGTGAGATTTCACTTTTATTTATTCAATTGTTTTAAGGTAAAAAATCATAATTAGTTTTTTACTGTAATATATTTTCACTAGTTAGTAGTGCGAAATACATATAGTATAAAACACGATATTAGTCATAATATCGACTTTATTCTAACAGTTTAGGTCAGAACCTGACTTGATCATAAAAAATAATTAGAGTTATGAAATAAATAAATAAATAAATTGAATTAATCATTAAATAAAAAAAAAGAGTCTTCAAGTGTGTAACATATCAATCAGATTGCTCGATTCTATACACTAAAATTCGATTACATATATATTCGTCCCCCAGTATCAGTCTTATTAAGACTAGCTATAAATGCAACTTGATATATACATATAATTCAAAATAATCCATTTTCTTGCGCATGATACCCATTTGTGTTAACATCACCATTTTCATCATTTTCCCAACTTTCTTTCTTCATCATCATCATCATCATCATCATCATGTGACACTTAAAACTTTCTACCACACTCTCGGGAACCGACACAAGCACTCTCACAGCATTAGCATCTCCAACAACAGGTAAAAGCAAGCAATAAACACCACTTGTTAAAGGACCCATATGCAATGGCTTCCCTTCTCCAAAATCCACATCTTCCAACCCTAACCTAGACCACTGTGATATAACCAAGCTTCTAGAAAGATCTGTTCTCACCATCTTGTCCTCTAACAAATCAATCATGGACCTTATATACTCATCATCATCCAAACTAGCCTTAGCTTCTTGCACCTGTTTCAAACCATGATGCAGGTTATTAGCAGCTAACAAATCCTTCACCGTGCTCTCAGCACACCCTATAACGAACCCATTCCCATAATACCCTTCTGGGAGTTTCATCTTTTTCCGAACGTTAACGGAGAAAAGGAGCTTCACCACGAGGGTGGGGCACAGGTTCAGTGATCGAACCCATGACCGCCACGTGTGTGCCGCCACCGCTTCAAAGGTTGTGATTCTGTTTAGTGTCGTTGACGGCACGCACTGCTTCTTCAAGCGAAGCACTTCGGAGGGTCCGAAGGTGAATGACGTGGCGACCAGTGGCTGCGACTGAACAAACTTGAATAGGTCAACTTGAGGAGTGGGTTTTGTTCTGGTGTTTCCCGGGTGAGGGAACTTTACCTGCGGGGGATCTCGAGGTTTTAACACGTGTCTCTCGTGGAAGGGTATGATTGTCAAATCGGTTTTGACGTCTTTGGTAAGTTTGGCCCAAGCGTTTAAAAACTGTGACGTGCCGATGCCGTCGCATAGGCAGTGGTGGATCGCGGTACATAGGATCATTCCTCCGCAACGAAGCCTCGTCGCCTAAAAGAATTAAAATTAAATAAATAAATAAATATTAGGAGAATCTGGTTAATCTCTACAGTTTTTTTTCTTTTTCAATTTTTTGTATAGAAAAATGGAACTTAGGAAGGTGTTGATTGATATTTTGCCCATATTTTTTTTTTTTTTTGCTATTTTATTTTTTTCAAATTATATATTGATTTGTCCATTTTCTGAAATTATATATTAATTTGTCCCTATTTAATTAATACTTATTCGTATAAATGTGTTATTTATTCCAATAAATAACTAATCAAAGATTAGAGTTGGTCAAACAAATGTTTTTTTTAAAAGAAAGATGAATTATAACAAAATGATCAATTGGCCAAGGAAGGGACCGTGTTACCACTAACCATGCTTTTGGAAAGCAACAGGCAAAGATTGATTAGCATTTTCCTCTTTCGTTTGAGAGGGAAAGCAAATCTAATTGAGAGTTGATTACGTTATGTATTAATTAAAATATGGGATTTGCATTTATCATTTAACATGACTACACAAAATTTTTTACACACACAACATTTTGTGGAACCCACATGTTTTGAAGAAAAAAAGAAAAGAAAAAATTATAGCATACAAAACGAATCTCTATAACCTAACACAATCATTTTTCTTATAACATAACTCTTATAAAATCCTTAAAATATAATATAAGGGGCTTGATCTTCTTATATCGGTGCCCGAATAATAAATTTTACATTCAATTTTAATCCTTAATTTTTATATATCTGACAATTTATAATTTATTAAAAATTAATAATTAATTAATAAAAATAACACAATATAATGAAAATTTGATTGTAAAATTAATGAAATCAACGCCTAAATTTGATTGTAAATTTTATGAAAAAAATGTGTGTCATTTTAAATGATATAAAGTTGTGTCAATTTAAAGGAGAAAAAGATAAATCATGGGAGAGAGAGAGTGAATAAAAAAAAAATGTGAGTCTCACTTATTTGTTAGAATGAAATGACAAAATTGTGTTATTCCAAAGACAGATACTTTTTCCAAATTTTATTATTCTCACCGTTATATATTGATTATATCCTATAATATAATACGTGAATAGAAATTAAATCATCATATTAATTTTATAAAACTTTAACGGGCTTCACAAGAAAAAATAAAATAAAAAGAGCTTAGGAGTGTGTAAGAACATTCACATGATCTAACCTGGACTACAAGAGGAGGAACATCTAAGAAACTTTGAGCTTCCACCTTATACAAAAACTTCCTCCATGACTCGTTTGGAAACTTGGAAGGTTCAAGCAATTCTTCAACAGTGGTATCTATGAAAGCCTCAGCAAACACAGCACCTTCTCCATTGCAATCCACCTCAAGCCTGTGATCATCCTCAATGCAGGTTCTCAATCTCCCAGCTAATGGGTAGTAATCCACTAGAACTCTGGACAGAGAAGACTTCAAGGTATCAAAGTTAACAGATTTCTTGAAGAGGTACAAGTACTTAATGGAGAATCTGAGCAAGTTTTGGTTGTCGAAATTAGAGAGATAGAGAGAATGCTTTGGCGTTGGAGCACTTGGGGTTATGGTAATTGGTTGCCTAGGATAGAAACAATCTGGGAGTTCCACAGATTTTGACATGTTTTCTTGTAATTTTATGGGTACTCTACAATTGAAAAAAAAGAGAGAAAAAGAAACCAACAAAGAAGGTTGGGGAAGGGTTGATTGAATAGAAAGGCAAGTGAGAGAGGGAAAAGATCTTTTATATGCAGACAAGAACAACAGAAGTGACGGGTCATTAAGAAATTTACAGCCTCAGAATAAATTATACACAGGGGTTTGATTTTCTACGTAATAATTGAATTGTGACTTAATTAGTGATAGGTTCAACATTTATTAAAAAGAAAAAAAAAACAAAAACTTTACACGCACATCGAAGTGTCACAACATGAGAAAATATTTTTCTTATACATAGAGAAGGTTATATTTACAAATTTTTTGTTTACAAACTACACTATGTTTGACCGGTCATACTCTTTTGATTGGGCTGGTTTCAATACTAGTCTGTTTTCACTAGCAATTATTCCCCCAACAGCTGAGACTGCTGATCTCAAATTAAATCGTAGTATTTTCTCCTCTGATCAGGGCTGGAATGTTCATTTCCTTATTAATCACTTTGATGGTAGTGTTGTGAACCAGATTATGGCTATTCCTCATTTGATGGGGAAGCAGGAGAGGATTTTGTTTGCTGGAAAAATAGACTACCAGGTCAGTCTATAGTTAAATCTGCGTATAGAAATCTGACAAGTCCAAGCCACTACTCTAGTGACAGTTGTTGGGACCGAATTTGGAGCTGGAAAGGAAAAGAAAGGGTCAAACTGCTCATGTGGAGGATGCTTCATGGAAGGATGCTAACCAAAGATTATATTAGCAGATGAAGTGAATCCTCTAATTGTTGCCCCTCATGTCCAGAATTAGTGGAGACTAATCTCCATGCTTTCAGAGACTGCTACAAAGCTAAAAAGGTTTGGCTAATGCCTTTGTTCCAACCCCTACCTCCGGGTTTTTTCAACTCTAGCTATTTCAAGGAGTGGATTTCCCTCAACTTGAATATAAAGAATACGCTTGTCAAGGACTGGAGGGATTTTTTCTTCACTGCCTGCAACTTCATATGGTATTGGAGAAATAAAGAGCTTCATGAAGTGACTGCTAAGAGACCTGAAGACCCTTCCATTATCCTTGCTGGATCAGTAGGGAAGATAAGGAGTTGTAGCAGAAAAAAATTCCAGCATTATGATCAAATAAACATTCCCATCATGTCCTCCTCTGTTTGGACTGCCCCAACTCAAGGGAGTTTAAAATTAAATGTTGATGGTGCAGCATCTAATGAGAGAGTTGTGTGTGGGGGCTTATTGAGAGACTAAGAGGGGAATTGGGTTTGTGGTTTTTCTGCTTTTGTTGGATCTTGTTCCCCTTTGTATGCTGAACTCTGGGCTATTTTACATGGTTTGGATTTTGCTTGGAAATTCGGTTGGAAGAATATTATTCTAGAATCAGATTCTGTTCAAGCTATTGGCCTTCTTACCACGATTGGTAATCATACTCGAAAGCTACCTTTGGTAACTAAGATTCGAGCTGCTCTCAATAAGGATTGGTCTGTCTGTTTGAAGCATATTTCAAGGACTTGCAACTATTGTGCTGATTGGATAGCGAAGAAAGCAATGGATGATCCTTTCGCGTTCACCACTATCTCATCCCCACATAGTGAGCTTATCAATCTTCTTGCTGCTGATATGTTGGATCCGGGAAGTATCATGCCAGCTGCTAGATGTTGCTAAAGCCCCTACTGGGTTTTTGGTTTTAGTTTCCTTTCTGTTTTGTTTAATTTGATGTATCTGTCTGTTATTGTTTTTTCTGTTATTTTGTTTCGTGGGGCTATACCCCATGTATCTACCAAAAAAAAAGTATAGTTTATAAGTTTATAAGAAAAAAAGTTTACAAATATAACTTTTCCATATATATATATATATATATATATATATATATATATATATATATATTCTAGTTGCTTAAATTTTTTTTACGGTTAATTGCATAAATAGTAGGATATGATGTTTCTTATGTTTTAAAAGATAAAATTATTTTTCATACACACATAAAAATATGTAGGATCTTTTTTTTCTTTTTTTTGCTCATATAACCTCACATGAATACCACATATTTTTATATATATAAAATATAATTTTATTTCCTATAATATATTAAATTCTAAAATATGTTCTAGTTGCGTTAATTTACTTGGACAAAAATGGAAAGAAAATGCAACTTCTTCCAAGTGGACAAGTACCACAGTTATTAATAAGTTATTTGTCAAATCTCGACGAGTCGCATATTTTCATTTCACCAATGCATTTCTCTCCACGAGAACAGCTTCCATACAATTGTAGTAAATAATTCTTCCATTGAGCAACTGATATTTGGATAAAAAATATTTTTCTCTCCTATTTGTACAAATATCACAGTTATTTATGAATTTCTATTGGTTAGTAGCACCAAACAATTATGGTGCAACAATAGTATATTAGATATTTCCGCTCTCCACCATCCACATGGAAGTAAAGCAGTACACGTAAAATTTTATACGGTTTCATTCTTTCTCCTCTTTTCTTTACTATCTCTTATTATTAAATTTTAATCGTTGATTTTCATCAATCTAGCGATTATAATTTATTAAGTCATATTTATTAATTAGTTATTAATTTTTACTAAATTATAACTGTTAGATTAACGAAAATCAACGATTAAGATTTAATAATAAGAAAATGATGTACTAACTATAACATCTCCCTATCTTATTTATCTCAAGTTAGAGTAAATACCCTTTTTAGTCCCTAGCAATAAAAAAGGGATAAATTGGTCCCTTAAATTACAAAAAAGAGGCCATGTTCATCCTTCTGTTAAATCCAACATGATGGCCCAATTAACGGTGCACAGTTGGCACGTTAGTTTGCTGACACGGATTGGATGTGGAACACCGTGGAACTTGAGACGACGACGTTTTCATGGTCGTGTTGAAACTCCAACGCTTTGGGGTAAATTGGGAGCCCTAAATCCCCCAAATTGCTCAAATGAACCCTAAACAGGAAAACCCCCCAAATTCTCCGGACGTTGATGACTGAAAATCGACGACAGTAGAAGACCTTTACCGGATTTACTGGGGCGTAGGAGAAGATGAGTCTTTCTTCTGGCATGAGGGGATCAAGTGGGAGTACTTCAATAGGGGGAATAACACTGACAAGGAGTGCCGGTTGTAGGTGCAAATGTGGGAGACAAAGTATCGTTTATACCTCCAAAACTGAGAGAAACCCAAACAGGGCTTTCTTTGGGTGCCCTAATTTCAAGGTATACATGTGTAATGTGAAGGTAATTAAGTTGAAACACTTGCTCATCGTGGCTTTTTATTTTGGCAGGAAAAGAAGCCAAAATTGGTCTAGATGGATGTAAGAGAGGGTTCAAAGCTGGTTGCAGGCCATTAATTGGTCTGGATGGATGTTTTTTAAAAGGATATTATGGAGGACAGTTGTTGAGTGCAGTTGGGGAGGATGCGAACAAGAGTTTCTATGTCATTGCATATGCAGTGGTGGATAGTGAAACAAAAAAGAACTGGAAGTGGTTTTTAATTCTGTTACAAGAAGACATTGGCAACCATACAGTCTATGGGTGGAATTTTATTTCTGATCAACAGAAGGTATGAATTGCTTATTCAATTGTTCATACTTTATTTTTTACTCTGTTTATTTGGCAATGGTCCTTATATTGAGCATGGTTTTTTTTGCTCGTTTGGTCTTTGTATGTACGGGTTGATTCCAGCACTGCAAGAGGTCATGCCTGGTGCACATCATCGTTTTTGTGTGCAAGCAAGACCAGAAAATGCAATGAATGTAAGGATTGGATCCAACTCAGTACATGAAATCCCATTAAGTCAAGGAGGACCTACAGCAGTTGGTAGTTCTCAGCCACATGAGGGCAACTTGAGAGGAAGCAGCCCACCTCCATCAAATCCACAACATGCAAATGAATTGTTGAGTAATGAAACACTGAATGCAGCAACCAGTGGCACACGAAGCAGAATATTGGCCTTCATAAGCACACCTGGTTTTAGGCCACCAAGGCATGCCTTAAGAAAATGAGCTTTTGTTGTATATGACCTGGGAGTAGTGCATGAGCTAACTGAGAAGGGTTTATTATGTGACTGACTTTTTTTGTAAATTCTGGCCATTATGTATTTGGAGGCCTTATTATGTCAATGATTTTTGGGAACAGTCTGTAGTACCCTTTTCAATTGTACACAACAGTGATTCAAAGGCCATTTTGTATTAGAGGCCTTTCTTTTAATTCCTGGCAGTTGGCTTTATTTTGTAATGCACTACTGTACATCCATGTCTTCAAATATAATGATACTCATATCATGTTCCAACTATGATGTTTCACAGGGTTGATGTATGTTTAAGTTTACCATTTCTGATGCTTTTTAACTAATATATGTAGTTGTAGTTGTTGTACATACATGTCTTCTGGTTTAACAAATTGGACTGCATACAAATCCTCTACTGTAGATGCTATCATGTTCCTGTTGTAGATATATGTAGTTGAATTGGACTGCACTAGTTGTAGTTGCTGTCATGTTCCTGTTGTAGATTCGTATTTTTTGGTTTTACAAAAAATTGGACTGCATAGAAATCCTTTGAAGTCGTGTGCCTATTTTTCTTTGGTTAGGGACCAATAAGGGCCCCGTGGTTTTTGCCAGGGACCAAAAAGGTCCTCGTGCATTTTGACAGGGACCAAAATGGCCCTCGTGGTTTTGACATGATTAACAAATATCCAGTCCAACATGGAACTTCGGTTACAGTAATTTCTTGATTTAGGCATATATATATATGTACATTGTGGTTTGTGATACAATGCAGCAAACTGACATATTCATTCTATGCCTAACTATGCAGTATACCTTAAATACAACAATAATAGCATTGAGATGACATTAGATACACAAATATATGATGCATATGATGCAGATAGATTCGAACCAACACATAATAGGCCATATAATAAAAACTTCTTCATTAATTTGGATAACAAGAGTACTGAGTACTCATTACACTTCATTGAAGGAAAAATACATTGGGGTCACTTGTTTTGACTGTTACCACACTAACAACAAAAATACACATGATGATCACACCTACACAACCAGCAACTAAGACCCTAGCTGACCTACCAATATGCCTAATTTCCTTGTCCATCCTATCTAACTCCTCCACCATCTTCAGGTATAGCTCATTCAGCTTTCTTTCCTGCTCATTAAGCTTCAGTTCTTGCTCACTAATCTTCACACCTTGGTCATTCAGCTTAGCTTGCAATTGTTCACTCAGCATCATGTCCACATACTTCAACTTGAAATTAATTTCAGCAACATCCAACTCCACATTATGTATTCTTCCATCTTCCAGCTCCATCCGTTCATCACAGACGCCATCTACCCATCTAAAAAAAATCACAAAACGGCTTCTTCTCCTGCAAAAATAAAAAACCAAGATGAGCAAGTGTTTCAACTTAATTACCATCACATTACACATGTATACCTTGAAATTAGGGCACCCAAAGAAAGCCATGTTTGGGTTTCTCTCAGTTTTGGAGGTATAAATGATACTTTGTCTCCCACATTTGCACCTACGACTGGCAGTCCTTGTCAGTGTTCTTCCCCTATTGAAGTACTCTCACTTGATCCCCCCATGCCAGAAGAAAGACTCATCTTCTCCTACGCCCCAGCAAATCCGGTAGAGGTCTTTTACTGTCTTCGATTTTCAGTCATCAATGTCCGGAGAATTTGGGGGATTTTTCTGTTTAGGGTTCATTTGAGCAATTTGGGGAATTTAGGGCTCCCAATTTACCCCAAAGCGTTGGAGTTGCAACACGACCATCAAAACGTCGTCGTCTCAAGTTCCACGATGTTCCACATCCAATCCGCGTCAGCAAACTAACGTGCCAACTGTGTATCGTTAGTTTGGTCGTCATGTTGGATTTAACAGAAGGATGAACATGGCCTCTTTTTTGTAATTTAAGGAACCAATTTATCCCTTTTTTATTGCTAGGGACTATAAAGGGCTTCGTGGATATTGGCAGGGACTAAAAAGGGTATTTACTCTTCGTGGATATTAGATATTTCCACTCTCCACCATCCACATGGAAGTAAAGCAGTACACGTAAAATTTTATAGGGTTTCATTCTTTCTCCTCTTTTCTTTACTATCTCTTATTATTAAATTTTAATCGTTGATTTTCATCAATCTAGCGATTATAATTTATTATTAATTTTTACTAAATTATAACTGTTAGATTAACGAAAATCAACGATTAAGATTTAATAATAAGAAAAAGATGTACTAACTATAACATCTCCCTATCTTATTTATTTCAAGTTATATTTTCAACTGGAATTTGTTTAATCTTTGCAAGGAATTTACAATATGTGCCTGACATAGTAGAAAAAATATGACTGTATAATTTATCTCTTAAAAATTTACTTGCAAGAATACATTCTTGTATAAAATTTGATTAGTATAATTTTTTATCTTATGACTTCAGTTACGAGGTTCTCTTGGGTATTTTTTTTTAGGTGTGAGATAAATTTTGCTTACCACTTCAGTTATTTCTTATATGTTAGTGTAATTTATTTTTTTAATAATTTTTTTACTGATACTAAAATTGTTACAATATACCTCGATCAAAAATTTTACATACATGTACCAAAAAAAAAATTTACACCTACACCAAAAAAA